AAAATATATCATGTTTTTTTCCGTTAGAATACTTCTAGGATGTTTACTGTCTCCTTTACAGTGATAAACTATATGATATGTTGAACTTTGTCTTTAAGACTTATTTGAACAAACTATTATTCTATAGCTTTGCAAATATTTGTTAGAAAACTTCATAAAAGTTAAAAGAAGTTAAAAGAAATAGATGTAGGGCTTGCAATACCGGACCAAAATCTCAATACCGGTAAACGGTATTCAAAATTTTTAAAACCGGGATACCGGTATTACTATAAAAAAGTTTACTCACTAAAATACAATCACTAGATATATCTAATTGTAAGATTTTTTTCCCCTCTGTGGCGTCACCTCTACTAACAACAGGTTAATTCCTACTATACTTTTAGATTGGCAACAAAGCATAAGTTACAGAATCTGAGATATTAGGAATCTGTACAAAGTATCAATAAACTGAAAGGTCTGGATACCATCATTGTTTTGTTGTCTTTCACTTGGTCCAAAGGTTCAACTTCAGTGCCGCGTCAAAAAATGAAATTACACTTCATCATCTGAAGGTCTGTGGAATTCTTTTGAATTCCTGCTTTGGAATTTTCTGAAAAGGTGCAGATTCAAGATAGAAACTTTAACATAATGGCTCTTGGTAGTTTGTCAGACTTATCATACTACTGTTATACTTGGTGGGACAGTACACGAATCAAATTGACCTGAAACACCATTATGGAGTAAAAAGTCCAAAAATAGTTGTATGCAGAGAGTATTTTATTGTTCGCTAGGTATGACAAATTTATTGAACACGAACATTAAGTTGTCGTCATCAAAGGTTGAGTCTTCGTTATCTTCAACATTCTGTCAGAGTGCAAAATGCTATTTCTTGTAGATGGTATTTACACTGATCAAAAAATGTCACTTGAAAAAATGAGGTTAGAACGGACATAATATAGATAACAAACAAGAATCCTCTACGTCATTTTCCAGGACAACTTCAAACTAGCACGGACGTTTTCGAGGACATCGGCCGTCCCCGGCCATCGAGGGCGCTAAATAAAAATAATACCGAAATACCGGTATTTTGTCATCAATACCGGTTTTTAATACCGGACAAAAATTGTTCGGAATCCCGGTATTGCAAGCTCTAACTAGAAGGTATATAATTTCCTTACTTCATACTAGAATGGTAATTAGTAATTAAGTTAGCAGCCAATGAAGGTAACCAAGATAAAATTCTATGGGGAACTTCAAACCCTCATCGCAACGATTCTATGATCCGGTTCAAATTCAGTTTTAACATAAAACGATGGATGTCTATAATGGTATATGCGAAGGATTTCAAAATTTCTGTTAAGTCCGATTTCTCACTTTGAAGATAACTGATCAAAGCATTACATCAACTTTGTTCTCTTATCTTAGCCACTCTCCGCTGCGTCGAGCCTATATCATAGGAGATATTAGAATTAAATAAATCTTCCTTTATTGGGGAGAGTTTATACTATTCAATTATACCTGGAAAAGCAATTCGATTCACATAGGATCTGAGTTCATGTCTGTATGCAAGAAGATAGCACTGATTAGTTTTTTATTTTCCTTGTACTTATTTCTCTTTATTTTAGACATATCTCCCTTAACTATTTCACGATTAAGTCCCTTATATTGTATAATAAAGTTATTAAGTTATCAAGCATACCTATTTTGCATATATTAAACTAAAAAATTGGCGATAAAGATAAAACTTGGGTACACTAACAAGGTACGTTAGCAGTGTGCCGTGTACGTGACAAATTGCCATTGATTAATTCCGTGATTTGGCGAGAGTTTAGAGATCATTTAATTAACTATAATTTTTGTGTAGTGAAAATGTTTCGAAACACTGCATGTTGAATATTGGTAACAAAGAACACTAATGATAAAGATCGATCAGCATGAATTGAATGGTAATAAGGGTGGCGTTGATACCGTAGATAAATCCAGTCGTGAATATTCTTGTGCTCGTCATAGAGTTAGACTGTTATTCTTGAATATTTTACAATTAGCCATTTCCTTGGATGCGTTTATTATAACAGAATCGAGAATACATAGTTTTAGAGATCATCGTGCCGATTATTTATCAAATAAAAGTATAGAATTACAAATGACCATAACACCATCACCATTTAAATAATCGTAATGAATTCATTCTTGAAGTTAATTATTGCCATAAAATATATGAGAGCTAGATAACTCAAAAATGTGAGTTATCGAAATGTTCATTAACCATTGATAGACAAAATTTGAAATATATTAGTCTTAAGATAAATCACTCTATCTAGAAATCGTCCATGAATTCAAAATTTCTAATAAATAAATAATAACACATCTTTATATTTTGTAATTTCTTAAGTATAAATAACATTTTGAAATAAATTGTTTGTATTTTTCCAATCATTTTTAAAGATATTACTTACACTCTATTCTGTCAATTGCATTTCAACTTTAATTCAACTCATTGTTAATAATTGTATTTACAGTTAGGTTCGCGCCCCCTCTATAACATACATTTACATTACCCCATTTCATTTGAGGTCACGTGCCCTACAGCAATAAATATCACCAATCTAATGCAGAATCATCGAGACGACGCGTGTCCTAACTTTGTCCGGACAAGGGTGAACCACCTCCGTCCTTAAAAGAAGACGAATTGTATGTAAAACAAACCCGAATCTATCGATCGGAATAGAGGAAGAAATTGATGTGAAGATTGTGATCCGATTCCATAGATAGCGATTGAAAGAAAAAGCTCTTCTCGAATAGATTCCGAGTGAGCTCTTTCGTTGGGTCGTTTCGATCTCTTTCGAAGAGTCGAGGGACATCGATACTAATTCCATTAACATCAGTCCTTATCGTAGGAAGTAATCTCCGGAATCAACTGATTAAAAAAGTTGTCCGCGCTCCAATCCTGTCTTCCTCTGCTGCGATCGCCTTGTTTCTCCTTAATGCGATTGAATTAAAGATTGAGTTTAAAATGGGCTCTTAATCAATGTCCCTCTACTTCATTAAACGTTAGATGCCAGATAAGATGTACAAAATCCCGTCGACTTGCCTTGGGCCTTTTTCACCCCTTTTTTATTTTACAATCGACGGGTAATAATGAAAAAGTTTACCGCAATAAAAAAAAACTTTTAATTACAACAAAAAAATCTTTCGAATTTGATGAGAAAGACATGAAGAAAATCAATAAAATTATAGTTAATATAATGTGTCGTTTGGTGGAAAAGGCTAAAAGAAAGATGACCGGAAGTAACGGGTCATCAGATCCGTTAGCCGCAAATAAGAAAGACATCCATTGTTTTCGCCCCGACGCCATTATCCCATTTCCTCTTAAGCGTATGGGCGGGGTGGCGGTGAATCACTACGGCAAACGGCGTTTCCGCACATTTTAAATCGGAAGTAGCCATTTGCGACAGATCCAGACAAGTGTCACGGACCGGAAGCGGGATTTTGAATTATGTAATTTTTAATATTACACCCAGCACACTCGAGCGCTGTTTTCGACCGGGCACCACTTTTTACTGCCTTTTGTGCCCCGCGCGTCGCCGGAAATAATGAAGCTGGCGCGAAGCCAGCGAACGAAAAGGGGCGGATGCCATAGAGGAGCACCGCTATCGCCCTAGAATTAACCGCCGAATGTCCCCATATATCACATGATTACGCGCCACGATGATTTTTAACACTATTCTATTTACTTTGCCTCCGGAGTTCTCCGGGAGGGCGACCGAAGCGCAGGGTTGAAGAAACGATTCGTGCGGAGAGGGCAATCGAGTTAGGGATCTTCCGGTTCACCATTAACTCCCACAATTGCTGTCTAAGCAACGACCCCCGAACTCAATAGATTACTTCATAAAATATGTCGGTACATTTCCTCTGCGTTTGCTTTTCTCTGCCTCCCGTATTTATATTTCCCCATTTCCGGATTATTGTCCATGAAATCGTATAGTCATTTTCTTATTATAGTCTTAGCCGATTTTATCAGTCTTATAAATTATTTCTATTGAGATTGGTTGGGTAAGAAAAAACGTAATAAATTATAAGAAAAGGAGATATGTGTATAAAATAATATTACAATTTGCATTATAAATATTTAAAATCTACAAAGTGATTTTGTTAAATGGCCTGTAGTTGGGTATTATAAAATATAGTATAAAATTGTAAATCTTGGGCAGATATGTATATAGTTCACCTGCACTTTTATTCACCTGCTGCTTTAATTATAATTTATCAATCATTATAATTATATATCCTAAATACATATAAAACTCCTGAATAAAACTTTTGAATTAAAATAGGAGAAACTGTTATTAAAAAGCTAGAAGGTTTTATTTAGATTACTCTACGAATCACCCATTAACAGGATAAAATGAAATATATCATATTATCTACTGTATATATTAAGTTCGCTCCCTTTAACAATAAATAAAATTATTAAAATACCAATAAAGGTCTCTAAGTATTTGAATTGTTAAGGTACTGCCACCTATTTTATAATAGTTATAACACAGCCCAATAAAATTTTAATCCAAATAGTAGACTATACTTTCGTTGATATTAATGTGCTCTAATTTATGCTCAAAATTTAAACATTTTCAAGACATTCTGATGTAAATAATTCATCTTTAAATTGATGGTTGGATTTAAAACATCTTCAAAAAAATCAGGGAATTTTGTTCATTCATTATCTTATTTCAATTATGTATAAACTATAAAAATATAACCGGAAATTTAAAAGTATATTTAAAGGTTTATTCATGAAGACTATACAAAATTTTAATCTCAAATAAAAGCTGAAATTTCTTCTTTAATATAATATATATAATATGTTGGGTTACGATAAAAGAAATATATTGAAAATAAACTTTAGACAGTTGTTGTGACGTTTAAATAAATGCAGAATAAAATATAGAAAAAAACGTGGAAACATTATGAAATGAGTTTTCTTAATGAAAAATTATGCCTGTGAGAACCTGGACATATTAGAAGAGTTCTACATACATAAAAACTACCTTAACAATAAAGAACTTTTAATTAACGAAAACATCGAATTTAATAAACAGCGATATTTTTTGAAATTTTTGTAATACCAGTTTTTGGAAATCCTTACGTCTGCGCATTAACATTACTTTATTGTCATTATTGAGTTTAGTCACACATCGAACACGTTACAGTAAAGTCAAAAAGAATTTCAAGACCTGTTCTGCAAATTGTATTCCGGTCGTCATCTTGCAAAATACTGATTTTCAAGCATTAATAATTAATAAACACACATACACACATTGACATTTATGTATATATAGTTTAAAAAAGAGGTGAGCCAACCTATACTTTAATTGTTTTAATGTACAAAACGTCAACGTTTTTCCGAAATGTTTTTTATATGTTTTTTTATATGCGTTTTAGAATCCGACCCTCATGTAAATCTTTGAACTCTAACTTAAAATTATGTACGTCTAAATAACGAATTATCTCCATTGCCTTTGCGATGTTAAATTTATATAGATCAAATCCTCCATTTGCTACATCCTAAGACGGTAAATATTCAATATGTAATTTTTTCTTAATTATTTGTATTGAACGTATAAAACCTTTTTAGACGTGCCTGAAGAAGACCAACTTATTGGTCGAAACGTAACGTAGCACCGATTTAAAAATTAAATAAATATCTTTCATCGTTCTCAAACAGTGGTTTTTTTGGAAAAATTCACACCTATAATTATACATATACGATGAATATAGAGTCAACATTAGCTAAATTAAAAAAAATGTT